AGTCTATTTCTGACTCACAGCGACCCTGTGTGATAGAGTAGAACTGCCCCATAGGATTTCCTAGGCTGTAATCTTTACTGAAGTAGATCACCAGGTCTTTCTCCCACAGAGCCACTGGGTGGGTTCAAACTGCCAGTCTTTTGGTTAGCAGCCAGGTGTTTAACCAGTGTGCCACCAGATCTCTTTTTTTTTTTTTTGACATACATACCTGTTTTTTCATTCATTCTCATATGCTCTCTTTGCCTGCCTCTCCACATCTATCTATATATTCTCAAATACACATGCACTTTTATTTTTTTCCCCACCACCAGCACCCCGTCCCCATGTCAATTTGTGCAGATTCACCCCATTCTTTGTAATAGCTGTGTCTTCTATTTTTCTTTCTTTTTTTTTAGAAGTGCTATGATTTATTTCCCCACCCCCCAACCCTTTTTTTCCTCCACCCAAATCCCTTCTGAAAGATAATTGGGCTCTTTCCAATATTTTGTTCTTACAGACAATGAGCAACCTGCTTCTTAATTCCAAGCATTTTGAAGCTTCCCAACAGTTGTCCAATTGACTGGTATTTTAGTGTCTTGGAACATAGAACCCAGTTATTCAGACAGAGCCATATGTGGAGCCTCAGTATACAAAAGAGGTTCCAGCAGGCTGTTCAGGTGGACATGCGCGGAGGAGAGTGCCAGCCCTGGGTTGTCTGCAGGAGCGGGAGGAGGCCACAGAGCACAGTGTGGAACCTTCTGAAGCCTTGGGAGGAAGAATCCTTTGGAAGTGGAGCTGTCTGGAGAGTTCGAACCCTGAGGTACAGCTCACTTCATGGAGGGGCCAGTCAGAAAGGAAACTTCCTGGCACATTTGTGGTACAGGGCAGAGCCGAATCCTAAAGGTGTGTGCCACACCTCAGCTTAGGGTTGCACCTGATGCAAATGAGGCGCCGAGGGTGGACTTCCCTGAGCACAGTCCACAGCAGTACATGACCTCCTTCTCCATTCTCCTACTCCCAGTAAGGAATAAAGGAGGGACCCCTCAGAAAACCCACCAGGTGGTGCCATGGAAGAAAGGCCTGGTGATCTGCTTCCATATCAGTTACAGCCAAGAAAACCCTATGGAGTTCTACTCTGTAATGCATGGGATCGCCATGAGTTGGGGGCCAACTTGACGGCAGCTAATAGCAACAACTACCCCTCAGAAATTCTGTTTGGCTGGCTGGCCATCTACCTGCATGAAGTTCACTATAGAAGGGACAAGGTGGGCAGACCCCACCTTTATCACTAACTTTGTGGCAAGAATCAGCACAATCACTTTCTGTGATTGAAAGTTCTGCAACCAACTTATATTGTCTTAGATGCTAAAAAAAATTACTATAGAAAATTTTTTTTAAATTCTCATTGAAAAATTTATATACATGTTGTTTTGTGACATTGGTTGCAATCCCCACAATGTGACAGCACACTCCCCCTTTCCACCCGGGGTTCCCTGTGTCCATTCAGCCAGTTCCTGTCCCTTCCTGCCTTCTCATCCTGCTTTTGGACAGGAGCTGCCCATTTGGTTTCGTATATTTGACTGAACTAAGAAGGACTTTCCTCACGTGTATGATTTTTTGTTTTATAGGCCTGTCTAATCTTTGTCTGAAGAGCGGGCTTCAGAAATTGTTTCAGTTCTGGGTTAGCAGAGCGTCCAGGGGCCATAGTTTTGGAGGTTCCTCCAGTCTCTGTCAGACTGTAAAATCTGGTCTTTTTATGTGAATTTGAGTTCTGTTCTACATTTTCACCAGCTCTATCCTGGACTCTGTGTTGTGTTCCCTGTCAGGGTGGTCATTGGTGGTAGATGGGCACCATCTAGTTCTTCTAGTCTCAGGCTGGTGGAGTCTCTGGTTCATTTGGTCCTTTAGTCCTTTGGGCTAGTATTTCCCTTGTCTTTGGTTTTCTTCATTCTCCTTTGCTCCAAGTGGGGTGGGACCAATAGATGTATCTTAAATGGCCACTCGCAAGCTTTTAAGACGCCAGGCACTACGCAAGACAACTAGGAGGTAGAACAGAAGCACTAAAGACAGTATTAGGGCAGTTAACTGGGGTCGCCCATGAAACCATAACCCTAAACCCCCAAACCAAGAAACCAAATCCCATGAGGTGTTTGGTTATACATAAGCAGTCTCAGCAGCTGTTCTTTTTTTGTTTTTGTAAATATATTTATCACACAACTTTTGCCTTTTTTTTTTTTTAAAGTTGGGATATGGAAAAGAAATCTGGTTGCCCCCATGAAACCTCTGAAGATTTAAATGGAGGAAGACATAGGATAGAGAAGAAGCCAGTTCATACATTTGCTGCTTTTTTCTTCCGCCGTGGAAGAGGGATAATATTTGTTATGAATTGGAATCTGATTTCTCCTTTTTTCTGTAGATCTTTTTTTCTTTTTTTTTAAACGTATCTAATCCATTTTATCTTGAACTGTCTTCCTTGGCTTTTAATAGCTACAAAATAAAGTGTTATATGATGTTGACAAGATTATTCTGAACTCTGAAACTGTGAGGAAGAACTGTTTTCATGCACAGTAGGATTTGAGGTCTAATTATTAAGATAAAATTGCAAAGTCTCCCAGACAGTATTTTATATCTGTGTCAAGTCTTCTCAGGATAGAAATGAAAAATCGGCTTTGGAGTGCTCTATGCCCCCAAGTTTCTTTTTGCTCTGCCCTTAGAATGAGACCTGGGCAGAGTGATTGTGAGGAGTGGAGCACCTGGGACAAAGTTGCTCCCTTTTAATGAGGCACAGTAATGGGCATCTTTTCTGGACTGCTTGGTAGCACACATAGATAAATGGCCTTTGAAGTTGCTCTGAGCAGAATTTGAGTTCCTGCTGAGAAAAGCTCTTCACTTTGTTTCATGATGTACTTAATGTTTTCTCTGAAAAGCACTGTCACCAGAAGTGTGGTGACAGCTCCTGCCCATGCTCCAAGGGGTATGTTGGGGGCAGGTTCAGCTCATCTTTTGAGCTTCCCTTGTGTCTGATTCTAAAGGGGATGGCCAGCTACAGAATGCAGAATTGATGCCCTTTGCTTGAAATATGGGAGGTGCTGGGAGGAGGGACCGTTACTCTGTAACATTCACTAGTCTCTCTGCCTTCAAGCCCAGCTGAGGCCGTGTCTTTCTTTAGAGACAGTGTGTGGAGGGAGCAGAGTGGAGACATCCAGTTTGGGGCCCCGGGAGGGAGGTGATCAGTCCAGCCCACCAGGGGTCATTGTGACTCTTGGTGCGTGTACCGAAGTATTTCTACCCAACCTGCTTCCTAAATCAATTTAAGGTGGTGTTTACATGAAGAAGCTCTTGATGTGATTGTAGAAATGGCAAATGTTTTGTTACCTATATATTTACCATAATTTTTTTTTAATGTTAAAAAAAAACTCTTGACGTGTTGAAACTAAAACTCATAAGTACAAGACTCAGTGGCACAGCAAGGGGTAGAGGAGAATTAGATCAGATATATAGGCTGAGGTAAGCTTTTCCAGCCCAAGAGGAAAACTAGCTCTGAGCTTCCCAGCAGTCTGAGCAAAGAGGGAAATGCAACATTCACAGAAGGACACAAACTCATCAGGAAGGAAGTCTCCCTTTTTCTCTTAGCTTTGCCAGGACTCATTGCACAGAGAGGCAGCACTGAGAGCAGTGGAGTGTTTGAGCTTTGAGTCTGACTTGGCCTGAGTCCTGCTTCTCTCTGTTCAGTGTT